CTTCTGAGAGTCCTTCATCATGTATTTCTTCCTTGACCATTTCCAGGAGAAGAGGAAAAATAATGCTGAGAGCCCAAATGAAAAAGTTTTGTGGGATCCTTGTGAGTCTAATCCCATTTCAAACGCAAGGGTTCTGGAAAATTTCAGAAAGCTGGAGAAAGATCTCAAACTGACATACAAATGGATGTAAATTTAATTTGCAGAGTATTTTTGCAGGTTTTAATCTGGTTCATGTTTTGTCCACAAGTCCTCACCATCATTTGTTGCCATTCCAGTGAGATTAAGTACTTTTTTCTGACTTTCCAGAAAACTGCTGGTTTTTTTTTCTTTACCAGAAGGTAAATATGAGGCAATAAATTTAAGGTTCTGAAAAATGTTTATATGTAGAGGAGGAAAAGGAGGCAGGTTAGGGGTGTTTTTAAAGGTGAGTTTAGTGAGGTGACGCTTGATCAGCCTTGACAGCCCTGGAAATGGATGTCTCCTATCTTACATCAGGAGTTCACAAAACAAGAGTGTAAGTTTCATAATCTTCCCTGTTGTTTTTTTTTTGAGGGACCATCTATAGAGCTATGATGTTTGTCCAGTTTCCAAGCTTTTTTGGTCTTTGGCCTGTCTGAGGCTGCCAACAAATGTGTTAATTGCTGTGGTTTTGGTAATATGGACACTTGTCATGGACAAAATGAACTGAGATCAGTAATTAATTTCAAGTGTCTTGAAGATGCAAATTCCTCCTTTTCCTCCTTCTTTTTTCTTTCATTAACTGTGCAACTTTATTTGCTTCAGTAGGGTTTCCTGGACATAATCAAGATGGGTTCTTGTTGGTAGATGAAATGAAATCGTAGGTTCTGGCATTTGCCTTGAGACTAAAATACCCTTAGGCCAGATACAGTTTTAATTTCAGCTTTTAAAAGTACCCTCAAATGCTCATCAAGGAATAACCTAAGTCTAAGAAGTTTTTGCTTCCTTAACACTTATCTGCTTGTCTCCTTTCTGCACAAGTTTTTACCTAACTGATGCAGTGATTCTAATATGGGGATCTGTAAAAATGATTCTTCCTCTGCCATAAAGTGTCCTGCTTCCTTTGATGGAAATAAGAGATCCCTGATAAGTGACTTGAAAACAAATGCTACTGAGTGATGATAATGGGAACCTGCTAAAAAACATAGACAATTTAATAAGTGAGAGAGCATTTTGCAAGATTCCAGAAATGTAAGAATTGTTTTGCTCTGCAGGTTGTTCTCGGGTTTTGCTCTGACTATTATGCTTTGAATAAATATTTGCATTCAGATTTCAGACAGAACACGAATTTAGAAGAATTATTTCTGGGTGCTCAAGATAATACATTAATTAAAAAAATCAAACTTGGAGAATTAATTTGTTGCGTATTTTCTTGTGCTTCGGCCTGGAAACTGTGCTGTAAACTTTCTTAACTTTATACTAATCCTTGGTTTAGTCAGGCTGAAAGTGCCATGAAAACAGAGGAAGACTGTGCATATTTTCTTGGTTCTCATTCCAGGCAAAACAAGGAGGCAGAAGTGAATACAGAAATGTGAACCTAACTTTGTTAAAAATCCAAATTGACACGAAGTTTTGCATATTAGTTTAGAGTTTTTCTTATCTGGTTTTCAGCTTTGAAATATTTTGGTCTCTTTTCAACCATCCAGAATGTCAGTTTTAAAGACATGTTGGTATTGTTACTCAGTGAAAATTGTGATTTAAGTGCGTGCACTCTTTGGGTGCTTTAGAATTCCCCAGGTGCAGATTACACTCTTGTTTAAGTTAAAATACAAATATTTTCCGAAGCTGTAAATTATGTAGTAGGTGTTTGGTGGCTCTGAGTTAGTTACTGGATGCAGTTTGGGTTGGAACAAAGCCTAGAAGCTGTATTTTGGCTGTGCTAGCATATTGAAATGGTGGAGGAAAATAAGGAAGGAAGGAACAAAGATCTCAGCAAATCTGTCCAGGTGGTGATCTTTACTAATCTGCTTTCTTTAGAAGTATTTCAAAGTATCTTACCCTTGGTTTTACACAAGTGCTTTACAGTGTAGTGCTGTAGAGGGAAAGAATACTAAAATATAGGTCGTTCATTTATTTTTTATGGTGTATGTACAGCTCACCTCAGTCAGCGAGGTGAGCTGCTCTGGTACCACCCAAATCCACAGCAGAGCACTCCAGGCTAAGGATGGGGTGGGATTCCATCCTAGGGGAAGCTCAGGTCCTCAGGAACGAAGAGACCCACCAGGAGCCCACAGCTTGCACCCAGTTCCAGAACTGTGAGATGATTGGCACAAGCAAAACCTTGTGGGATGAGTCCAGTGACTGGGGGGGCACGAGGGACAGTTTTTAAGGTGTTCAGGGTGTAGGCAGGGCGGGTGAGGTGGGGTGGGGGCACTGTGTGTAAGGAAAGAGTTGGATTGTATGGTGCTTACAACTGGTGATGATGTGGTTGAGAGCCTCTGGGTAGGGATGAAGGGGAAAGTAAATAAATCAGATGTTGTTGTGGGAGTTACTCTCGACCATCCAGCCAGGATGACAACACCCATTAATTATTATATATAACATAATATAATAATATAGTATATAAATATTCAGCAAATAATTAAGTGATATCTCTGCGTCAGTTAGTCTTGTCCTTATGGGTGATTTTATCTTCCCAGATATCAACTGGGAATGTCATACAGAGAACACAATCAGGTCCAGGAAATTTCTGAAGCATGTTGAAGATAACTTCTTGGTGCAGGTAGCCCATTAGGAAAGGTGCCCTCCTAGATTTGTTGTTTGTAAACAGAGAGGGACTTGTGGGTGAAGTGGTGATTGGTGGTTGTCTTGGTCACAGTGACCATGAATTAGTTGAGTTTCAAAAGCTGGTGATGGAAGAAAAACTTCCAGTGAAACTTTGATCCTGGGTGTGGGTAGAGAAGATTAGGGGCTGCTGAAGGAGCTACTTGGTAAAGTCTCTTGGGAATCTGCTTTCGAAGGTCTTCTATTTCAAAGTATCTTACCCTTGGTTTTGCTTTGAAATACTTTAAAATAGAAGGACTATTATGAATGCTGGTCACTCAAGAGCCATCTCTTAAGAGCACAGGAGCAGGCAATTCAAAGTGTAGAAGTCAAGCAAGTGGGACAGAAGAGCAGCTTGGCTGAGCAAGGATCTTCTAGAACTTAGGCAGAAAAGGTAAGTGTATGGACAAGGACAGCTGACAGAGATTCTTTCCACCATGGTAGAGAGAAAGTCAGAGCAGCAAAAGCTTGATTAGAGTTCAAGCTGGCCAGTGCTGTGAAGGACGATGAAAAGGACTTTTAAAAATATGTTAATAGCAAAAGGGGAATCAGAAATAGCATTGGGCCATTGCTTGATGAGATCAGTCACCTCACAAATAGGCATGTAGACAGAGCAGAGACATTTAATGCCTTCTTCACTTCTGTCTTCAAAAACAGTGATGGGCCCTGGGAAGCCCACGACTGGGAGGATGATAAAATCCCAGTTTGAGTCTTGCTGTTCCAGCCAAATGCACATAAATCTAAGGGGCCTGATGGGATTCATCCCAGGATACTGAAAGATCTGGCAGATGTCATTGTGGGACATCATTTTTCAATGGTCTTGGGACTCTGGAGAGGTCCCACTAAACTGAAAGCTGGCAAATGTTGTCCCCTCAGTTTTCAAGAAGGGTAAGAAGGAAGACCCTGGTAACTGTAGACCTATCAACCTCACTTCAGTGCCTGGTAAAATTATGGAAAACGTTGTTTTGAGGGTTACTAAAAACAACTTGAGAGACAAGACAGTCATTGGTTACAGCCAGCATGAGTTCATGAGGGGTAAGTCCTGCTTAACCAACTTAAATTCCCTTTATGGCTAGATCACTGGTAGCTGACCAAGGGAAGGCAGCAGATGTAGTGGTTTTGAATTTTAGTGAAGCTTTTGGTACTGTCTGTCACCAAATCCTTCTGGATAAACTGTCCAGCACACAGCTGGACAAGCTCTACATTGGCTCAAAGGATTATGACATCAGACTGGCAGCCAGTCACCAGTGGGGTTCCCTAGGGCTCAACTTTGCAGCCAGTGCTTTTCAATGTTTTTATAAATGATCTAGACTCAGGAATCAAATATACATTAAGTCTGACAACAATTCTAAACTAGGAGGAGCTGTGGACTCTCTCCAGAGAGATCTGGAGAGACCAGAGAACTGGGCGATCACCAACTGTATGAAATTTTACAAGAGCAAGGGCTTTATTCTTCATGTGGGACAAGGCCATCCAGGTTACACATGCAAACAGGGGGGACAAGAGGCTGAAGAGCAGCCCTGCAGAAAGAGATCTGGGGTTTTTAGTTGATGGCAAGTTCAGACTGGACATTAGGAAATGGTTCTTCACTGAGAAGTGGTCAATCACTGGAATGGGTTCCCCAGGGAGCACCGTGCCCGAGACAGTTCAAGGAGCATCTGGATGACACTTTTGGTCATATGGTTTAGTTTTAGGTAGTTCTGCAAGGAGCAGGGAGTTGGGTTTGATCCTTATGGGTCTCTTCCATCTTGTCGTATTCTGTGATTCTATTTGAATATACAAACATTGAAATTACGCTTTTTGGTTTTACGATCATAAATTCTTTTTCATGATCTAGAAATGTTCCGTATACTTGCTAGTTTTAGGAATTATGTGCTTGTAGCCTCCCTCCATTCTTTAGTTTTAAAAATTTTAAGTTTTTGAAAGAAACAAAAGAAGAAGAAAATCGTGGTTTTCCCTATGATAGACTGATGGAATGAAACCATCCATTTATTCATGCAAATCACATTCAGGAACAGATTATATATATCTCTGTTTAATGTACTAGCTGGCATGAGCACATAAAAAGCAAACAGATTAGGCACAATCCTTTTTATTGCATCATTCATCTCAACAAACTTATTTGTATTAGTCATAGGAATAAATCAGATGTGCAAACTGTAATCTGACTTGTAATGAAAAAAAAAAACCCTGATATCTTCTCTTTTTACTTCTGATAGGAAATAGTACTGGTTGTGTTTTTTGGTGCTGAATATTTGGTCCGGTTGTGGTCTGCAGGCTGCAGGAGTAAATATGTTGGCTTCCAGGGAAGAATCCGGTTTGCCAGAAAGCCAATATCGATCATAGGTAAGATTTAAACTCTTTTTCCCTCCCCTCCTTTTTTTTTGAAAGTAAAGATGTCAGCTACTGCAGAGAGCTTATTGCAACTGAGCTGTGTCTGTTCCTCTAGCATTTATCTGCTTTGTGAACCTGTGCAATTATTTCTCCTTTGGGATTGCTAAAACTGAACATTTAAAATATGGCTGTGAGACACAGGCAGACATCAGCCTTAGAAAGGCAGAACTGCACAGTGAAGAAACGACTAAATCTATTTGTTTAATTGGAGCAAATTGATAAGATTTTGGACACAAAATCCTTCTTTAGGTCTCCTGTAGAAAGCAAACACAAAGGTGAGTGTAAATTGAGAAAAACGTGGAAATGGGAAAAGTAGAACTCAGGAAAAATTTTATTGGGTAGTCGTAAAGTTAAACAATTTTAGATGGTTTGAGGGGCTATTGTAAGTAGCATTTCTGGAGCAGGAGAGAGTTTAGGAGAGGTAACTAATAGAACCTGTGGAACAGTGAGGGATTCATAAAAAGTGATGGTGTTTGTACAAAATTATAATAGACCATAAAATCATGGAGTCCATTATACAGAGCTGCAAATTTTACATTAGTCAAACATCAGCTCATTGAGTTTTAAATAGAGCAAAGTGACAGAGGTGTAAAAGGGGAGAGAATGAGCTGATTTTTCCTTAACCATCTGTGACACTATGGAACAGTGGGAAAACTCAGGAAACAAGATATCCTGTTATATATCTAGATGTGAGTAGTGAATAATGTGATGAGCTGCTGTACTCAGTTTTGAGTTATTGAGGAACAAGAATCATCCTGACTCATCCTATAATTTGCAAATCAACATGAATAAACTACAAACACTAGAAAAAGAAATTAAAGGTTAGAACAGAATGTAAAAATAAGGTATTCATTTTACTTCTGCATTAATACAGAAGTCTGTATTTTAAAATCAGAAAAATTCCACTGAAATGTCTTTGACAGCAGGGAGATTTTTTTTCTATGGGTTTTTGTTCACACTAAAATTTGAATTCACTCTTAGAAAGTTCAATTTTGAATTTCTTTAATTTCTTCCATTATCTTTCCTCCTTTCCTCCCCTCTCTAATTGTAAATAAAAATTACTTTGGTGCTTATTACTTCAAAGACTTTTAGTAGTCAAGCCTAATTATTACTTTCTTTTATAAACTTTTAAAATATTATTGAATTCTATGCTGCTTAAAATAGTATGTTAATGTGCAACTTCTATAACTGGGAAAGGAAAATGTTAAGATAGGACACATTATTTCTTGAATAGTATTTTAACATTTTAGGTGCAATGGAAAATGATGCAACTTCCCTACCTTGTAAATCTTTTTTTTTTGTTTGTTTGTTTGGGTTTTTTGTTTGTTTGTTTGTTTTTTCTTAGGTAGATTTTCTAAAGTTGGCCTAATTTTTCTCTTTTTTGCAGACAGATTGTTCATGATTACATGTATGTGAGAAAAGACAATTCTATCGACATATCTTGAATTCATTCCCAGAATACCAAGAATCCTTAGAAAAATCACTTTTTCTCTCCATGCTTCTTCATTCCCTAGTTCACAGTTATCTTTATAATTCGTGAAATGCTGATAGAACACAAAAATTCAGCAAAAAAAAAAGGGATGTAAAATCAAACTCAAATATGTGCATGTAGTCTGTGTATTTTAAGTCCTTGTGGACATCATATTATCTTCAGACAACTAAGAACACTCCTTTAAGCTGAGGACTGTTTACATTCTGTAATATAGCACAGCAATAAAATACGAAATAAAATACGAATATTCTTACTGTTTTAAATTTAAAAGCGATTAATTCCTTCTAATGAAAAAGCTGAGAACTGCACATTAGAAAGTAAACTTCTGAAAACATTAGAAACACACCAGAAATTTGCTCAAATAAAAAGCAATGCTCAGGTAAGCTACAGTACAGGTGTTATGTGCTACGCTGCAGTTTATGTATAACTAAGGAATATTGGCAAACTGATCTTTTGTATTAAAATGACAGCTGTTTGGAATCTCTCAAGGATTCAGAACATCAGTAAACCGCAGTGGATTAGTAGTACTGCACGTGCTAAATTGCAGGGAATGTGATCTCTGTAGGTCTGTCATCTGCATGTGTGGTGCACGTATTGTATAGAATATGCCAGGTCCTTTTTTTCTCTCTACACCTTCTGTGTAAGTAGGTAGAAACTTCCAGAAGAATATCCACATATTACTGTTTATAAATTACTGGAATTCAGATTTTGTTAAATTACCGAACTTCCTTGACACTTCAGTTTTTAAGAACTGCCATAAATACCGGTGTGATGCTGTTCTAAACACTAGTGCTTGTTAGAGTTGAAAAAGTTATTTAAACAAATGTTGATCCTGATGTTTTCCATGTCAGTGTCTGCTTCAGCTTGAGTCTCGTGGAGACATTTCATGCAGGATGTTTAAGCTGTTCCTGAGAAAGGCAGTTCTGGCCATTTCTTATGGAGAAGCACTAACACTTCCAAACTCTGAAGCAGACACTTGAAATTTAATGACAAATAAGCTTTTTGTTTATCACTGAAAGTCCAAACTGACTAACAAGCCCCTGTAATTTTGGTAGCTTGTTTATGCTTCAAACGCCCTGCTAGAGAATGCTCTTATATTTCTCAGAGAGTGAAACTGCAGTGAGCCTGCACAATTCAAATTTCAGGTTTCTTGGAGCAGTAGTGCTGGGGCTGGAAGTGGAAAATCTGTTGATCTTGGTTTTATAGTGTTCTTCCTGAATCTGCCCAGGGCATATGGAAAATACCAGGCTTGAATGCTGAGGTAGAAGGAATGAGCTGGGACATACAGGCTCAGTAAAATGACAGGAGGGTGGATGAGGGTGTAAAGGTTTGGGAGAAAAACGTTTAAAGAGACTGAAAAACCATCAGGAGGTTGAAGGAAAAACAGCAGGGGCTGAAAATACGTGGGATTGAAAGGTGGCAGTGAAAGAGCAGAAGGATATGCTGAAGACCTGGACTGTAAAATAGGACTATTTGGACCTGTAAACTGAGATTAGTGAGAGAAGCCTAAAGATTGGAAACTACAATAAGAACTAGGAACAGAGAAGAAGAGGGGATAAAAGAACAGAAATATCTCTACCATGTAGAACACTTTCAGAAAAGTAGAAAGAACAAATGAAAAATCTATTTTACTCTTGCTGCCTGATTGAAACTCATTTCCTGAGAGTCAGTCTTTTCCTCCTTCAGTGCTGGTCATTGGATGGATATGGATATGTCTGATAATTTAGTAAGGACACGGGTGCATCATCTTTGCTTAAGAGCAAAGATCTGCATTATGATGTGATGGGAAGAAAACCCATAAATTCTATGTATTCTATGTATTTATAAATATGTATTTACAAACATATGTTCACACGTATACATAATAAAGAATAGCAGGAAAAATTTGGAAAGTTTGGCATTAGAAAGTTAAGATTATCCCCAAATGGAAGCTCTTTCTGTGGCCTCATCCCTCCCTTTCTTTATTTTCATTTTCATAAATGTACAATTGTTGTTGCACACTCTTTAAACCGACTGAGTGCTATCCCTTGTGGGGAGGAATCCAGCTTTTACAGCAAAAACCAGACTGATACTGGACATTAATCCAAGTCAGAGAGTGAAGGATACTGTTGGTTGTAGAACTTCTGCAATATTTGTTGCGGCAACGACGCGGTCGCGAACGGGGCAGGAGAATTTTTAAAGGGGAGGAAAAAAACAAGTTAACCTTTCTGGAGGAAACTAAACTGCTGCTGCCTCTTGAGTTGGATTCTGTCCTGCATCTTGCCCAGGCATCGCACGGAAACTCTGTGGCAGTCGGTTAAATCAGTTTGCACAAGTGTGCCTCATTTTCTGCATGTCCAAACGAAGACTTTGAAGTCGGGTTGCAGAGGTTCTGAGCTCTCACAGCTGCAAGTGAGGTCAGCCGGCGCTGGGTTTTTTTTTTGAAGTGCTGTATAATGTTGAGTGCTCTGAAGAATAAAGTGCTGCCTGTTTAAAGCTGGCAAGGGGAAATTTACCAAAACTTTTCCTCTTTTCTGGCTACGTTTGCTACCCATTTATAATGCTATCTTTTATTTTCTGGTTAGAATTTGAAAGCGAAGCATTTAGATGCTCTAAAGAGGTTTACCACAGAAATGCCTGTGAGGAAAGAAGAAAAATGTCTTCTCAAAATAATGTTAGAGTAAGGTTCAATAATTAAAAGAAACAGACGTGGTCACTGAACTAGGATAAGAGAAAATAAAGGATGCTGGCACTGCGAACACAATCCATCATTTGCATTGTACAGTGCTGGAACTGTGTAAACTGTGGAGTTGTGGAAACAAAAAATAAGGATCTCTGGAAACAATTATTTTTTCATACAAATAAAGACTCTGTCACAAAGTAAACCAACAACTCTGTTTGTTTTTTGTTGGGTTTTTTTTTTTTTAGCAAACCTTTGTTCTGACAGTTCCCTAAACTTTGAAAGCTTGGCTTTACAGCTTTGATACAATTTTTAAACCAAGTGTATGTGTGTATGTATGCATGATACTTGACTTCATGCAATTCATTATTGAGTGAAGCAAACCCTTACTTTTCCTCATAAATCCAAAACCCTGAGCTAAAATGTGGATTCATTTCTAGGGTGTACATATGCCTTTGCATTTGTTGTTTTTGTGGCAAGCTGCTGTTCTTTGAAATTGCTGTTATTAAATTCATGGAAGAAATCGTAGTCATTGGGTTTTTGATGTGAAACTATTGCATTAACATAACAATTTCTTTTTTTTAAAGTTCTTTCCTCAGTCTGTATTTTTTTGTGTGTTTCAGTGCTGAGATCTAAAAACTAATACATTCTTCCTGTTTGTTTGTTGTGGTTTTTTTTAACAGATCTCATTGTGGTAGTAGCCTCAATTATTGTTCTGAGCATAGGATCTAATGGACAGGTGTTTGCTACCTCTGCAATAAGGTATGTTCTTCTACTGACTGTAGCTCTTCAGTACCATAGATGTTACCATCAGATGCATATCTGATTTCCTGATTTCTGAATTAGATGTATTTCTGATTTTCCTAATGTAGGAAAAGTTATTCTGTTGAAACACTGGACAGTGGAGGACTGTATGCTTTTGTGCTTGATCACTGTTGGGGAACAAGAGTACAGAAACAAGGCATATGAAAAATGGTGGGAATGCTGAAGCCAAATGGAAAAAACTAAATGTTCTGTCCTGTATAAAACATCAAACAGCTCTCCTTCTGAGACAAGAGAGTATTACAGAACATCAGTTTATTTAAGAAGTAATCCAGACAGCACTTAGCTCGGTACTTTTTGAGTATGAGTAATTACTTTGTTTAAAGAGTAATTATGCTTTGGTGGATTTGTTTGGCACAAGTAACTCATACTGTACATGAACCAGAAACATTTGATGTCTACAGTGTTTGTTCAGCTTGCATCAAGCACTGCAAGCTTGTTTTGGGAGGAAAAGTGGATAAATAGAAGAAAAGAATGATAAGCTTCTAACTTTAATTGCAAGACGTGCTGCATGTTCTGTTACAAGCCTCTGATTTCCAGTGCAATCTGATCACTGGGAAGTGAGAATGTACAGTACTATCTAAACTCTCTAGCTGTGTAAACAAACACTGGAGGGAACTGCAGGTATAAAGCATTTTTAAGGTAACTCTTACCATAGAACATTAATCCTTACACGATAATAAAGACTCACACGAGCAACATGAATGTGATTTATCAGCTTGCATAGGAAAAGAGGAGGGTGAATGTGAAAATTTTAAAGACTTTTTTGAATTCAACTAGAAGTGTAGGAAGGGCTCTTATGGAAAGGCCTGCTCTGTGTTTATGTGTGACCCAGTTGGATTTGGGCTCAGTGCAGCCTTTCCCAGTGTTCAATCACACAGTCACTGTACTACATCTCAGAATGCTCTGACAGAGAAGCTTAACCCACACCTCTGCAGTGTTGTTATTGCTCCACTGAAAAACCATCAGGGTCAGGCAAGTCTTTAGTTCCATCAGATTTCCTCAGAACTGTGACGTGAGTGAGTGTTGTTGAATTAGGGAGGAATGAATCTCATACACCTTGTCTTTGCTGTTGTTGCTTTTAAGGTATGCTGTGAAGGTCCTCTTTGGACCTCCCTCAAATCCCAGCAATCCCAGAAAACATGGGTGTTAGGTTGTTTACTCGTAGAATGAAGTTCCAGGCTCCAGATCCCCCAGGTGTGACAGGTTGATATTTTGCTCACTGCAGCAACCAGTGAGACTGGAGCTGAGCAGAGTTCCCAGCAGAGTCCTCCAACCTTCTCACTGTTTGAAGGTCACCAAATTGGTAAAAGAGGTCTTCATTCCAACAAGTTCCTTCTCCCTTTTCAGTGGATATGCGTTGTGCATGTTTGGGGGCTATCTGGATTCTCTTGTTCACCGTCATGTTTTCTAAAGCTCTGTTTGTAAAACTGCCAGCCTGTACCATGCATGTCAGCACTTGGCAGTAACACAGCTGTAACCAGCTTGGATCCAAAAGACAGGAAAATCAAGGTCTAATTGTGGCATCCAGAGATGTGTCTAATGATTGTTACATGTAGATCTCTCCCCTCCTGACAGGAACAACCAGTGAGCAATTGCACTGTGTAAGTCTATTGGTGCTCACATATTTGGTAGCCTTGTAATTCTTGAACTCGTTTTAATTAGCAGGTTTTAAGTGAATCTTTAAAAGTTTCCTGCTAATTAAAATTTTTATTCCGATGGTGTATCAAATAAATAACAAACCACGTACCTGGTCGCTGATATGTGATTGATAGTCAGGGTTATTGAGTGCTTTCCAAAAAAATGACAGCTTTTGATGGTTTGACTGTCAGCTGTGAGAGCTCAGAACACCTGCTTTCTGAATAAAGGAAAAGTTGGGTGTTGCAGAAAACAATCTGCCTTCCCAGAGTGAGTATCACCAGTGGCTGCAGGATGGCTGAGTTTCCAGCTTATAGGTGTAACCCAGAAAAATGCAGCCACAGTGGACTGGAAATAGGAAGTCTGAGTTAAAAAGCAAAACCTACATCCACAACAAAATGTTAAGGGTAGATAAAAAGAGCCAAAAACACTTTTAGTGAAAAGTTTTCACATAGATGAGTTCAGCATGTATCCTTTCCTGCTCTTCACTTGTTTGTTTCAGGGATAGGTCACTAAGATGACTGTAGGCAAACAAAGTTCATTGTCAAAAGTATGACTAAATAAAATATTTCCATGGAATAGAATTACACTGAGGAACCATATGGACAATTATTTTTCATTAGTTGAAAATATGGAGATTATGATTCACTTATTGTCCTAAAAAGACATAGGACTTTATCTATTTCCAATTAGAACATTTCTGTAACTCACACAAGAAGGACTTCAGTGACACCAAGTTTGATTCATATTCTGCTTTTGGCAAATAGAGAAAAAAGTTTGCTCCTACTTGTGTTAGCAAACCTTGAAGCACTGGTTTTCCTTGGAAAGGAGGCATTTGACAATCAGAATCATATGAAATACGCAATTTCCCCCTGAGCTTCTTTGTTTTTCTGTTAAATAATTCTTTTCCTATTTTTATATACTTGACTATAACAAAATCTAAACACAGAGTCTACTGAGATGCTTCAAATGCTTCAAATGTGAGATGCAAGCCTGGCCAGGGGCATTGCTATCACAGCAGTCAACTGTGGGTAGATGGAGCAGTATTTTTTATTTAATGCCCTGTTTTTCTTGCAGGGGCATCCGATTTCTCCAGATACTTCGCATGCTCCACGTGGATCGACAGGGAGGCACCTGGAGACTTTTGGGATCAGTTGTTTTCATCCATCGTCAGGTACTTGACCTTTAAGGATCCCCAGCTTTTTGTTTTCTTTAGTAAATTCCTTTTGTGGACGTCAAATCATAGTCTGCTTTAAGTGAACTTCTCTGTTGCAAGAATAAAAATACTTTAAAAGCCCACCATGTGTTTCTTTCTATTTTTAAAATAGAATTTTTAAAATTCTTAACTATTCAGGGCAGTGGATAACAGGGTTTAAGCATCAGTTTTGGGTTTTTTTCTGGAATTGAACTGCTGTTCTCTTTAATGTTATCCTTCAGTATAATTTATTAAATGCAGTTATGTGGGCTGCCTTTTATATTGCAAATATTGTCCACTGTCTTCATGGAAGATGTGTTCCTTGCTTGGTTGCTGCATGGAAAAAGAAATACTAGCAGAAAAGTAAATTATTTAAATAATTCTATTTTCTCTGCCTGAATAAGGAGTTTTCAAATGCATTCTATAAATAAAAATATGAATTATGTTATGATAACATGCAAGAAAAGTTGCTTTCTTAAGGGTGTAGTCTCAGAGGTGAACTAAGTTTATGTGTCTGTTAAAGCTTTGAAACAATTGTTCTGTATAAAAGCCCATTAAGCAGGAAAAGCTTAGAAGTTTTTCTGCAGACTTGAAAAAAATTCTAGTTGCAGGCTTCTTTTGGAGTCTTCACAGAATTTCTGTAGCTTTATCAGTATAACAGAAACTTATAGCATTAGCCTTTAAATTTTGCATATTGTACCACACTGTGGAGGGCTAATACTCTGCTATTAATGTTCACATCAGACTTCTAAGGGTAGTTAACTTATGCTTTATGAGTGTAGATTTGTTCCCCAGATACTAATAGTTACATATTTCCACACAGACATTTTAAAATTTTCTATTTAGAAAACTTATTCTGCGGGAGAGAACGGGAGGTGCTTAATCCAAGTGATTAATTTAATACCACAATTTAATTTTCTTCCCTTTATCCCCCCCCCCCTCCCAGTACTGCAGGAAATTTTTTGTCCTGATGGCTGTGCAGCAGTGATGCACACCAAAGTGCTCCAGTATAAAGGCTCCTTTCATACTGTACAACAGGATGACTTTTAATGCTCCAAGTCTGTGTGGTCTCCATTTATTATGCTCACATTGCCTGGATATCTAGCTAGGGCAGAGCTGATATCCAAATACACTTTCTCAACATTTGCTTACAGAGGTGTTTGAGACGTTTTTTTCCTGTGGGTGTTCAGAGTTTTAGTCAAGAATCAGGAAATACTATCTCCAAAATACGACTCTTAAATCTTAAATGTGACGAGCATAAATATAAGTTCAATGATTTAAAAGGAAAAAATAAAACAAACCTTGGAGAAGTGCATTTATGAGCAAACGCACCTGAAATTCTGCTACCCCAAAGAAGTGATTATGATGATAAATAAAACTCTACAGATCTGTAGTACTTGTCCAAGCAGATCACCCACTAACACATTAATAAAAAAAATATCAAACACACAGTTCTGTATTGACATTGGACAAGTGTAGCTGAAACTCTAACACGGTAACCTTTATTCCCATCCAGTCCCTGAAAGAAATTTTTGTTTAAAAAAAAACCAACAAAAAAACCAAACCAAAACAAAAACACCTCAGCTGCTTTTTCTTCGCTGGCAGAGTACAAAGTCCTCATCTATTTTTTGAGTTTGATACTCTTTCAGGAAAAAATGGGGCCCGTAACCATTAAACAATGTGAGAAAATAAATCCCCATTTTTGTGACCTGTGAAAATGGCAAGCATCTGTACCTCTGTGGGCCCAGAGGAGTGCAGTGAAGTTGTCACCAATGATTTCCATGTGTTTTGGAATTTTACATATAGCTTTATTAGCTCACTCAGGCCCAGTTTGGCTCTTCTATTTTCAGCAGGTTGAGCTTATACAAGGATTTCTCGCCAAAAGCAACAAAACATGATTCAATATGGTATGTGGTGATGGAAAGACATGGAGAAATCAGGCAGCTTACTGAAAAACTGAGTTAGCCAATCTACCTTCAGCTTTTAAAGCCTCTCGCTTATTTTTTCTCATCACTCACCTTGTCTTGTGAGATCTTCTACTGCTTTTAGGAGGGAGTTGAGATTTGGGATTTCCTTGTATTTTTCCCAAGTGTTGAACTTTATATTGTGTGGTCCTTATTGTAACTGAAAATATAGATCTATCTAAGTTTTCAAAATTGTGGTGACTCGACTCTCTCAATATTCAAATTTATTTTATTTTATTATTTATTAAATTCAGTATGTATGAGATTGCTGTAATTGTTCTTATAATTAAACATAGGCATGTGTTACTTTTTCTCCCTATACATATGTAACACGGAGTGCTGACATTTAGAAAAAGACTAAGGCAATTATACTTTCATCTGGCCTTTACTTAAAAAGAGTTCAGTCTTTAGATGAATAGCACTGGAGCTGAGGGGCACCAGTGGAGAAATAAGCTGAGTAGTCCTGTTGATAATTCAGCCACTTTGAAAGGATCTCATAAGTCTATGCATAGCACTTCTGAAAAGCATATCTTCCTGCCCGCTCCCCAAAAAGCCACTTAAAACAGAAATATTCCAATTATCATCCACTCTCTAATTCTGTCCTCTGAGACAACACTGAAAGCAAGCAGAGATGGACCCTCCTCCATAACAGGTAAAATCTTTTAACCTCTGAGATGTCAGCAACGTGCCAGGTGTAACTAAGAGATTTTTGCTGACGTGGAAGGAAGTCACAAATCTACCAGACATGAAAGCAGAGTGTTTTCTGTATAGGCAGGCAACAGGAATTAGCCTCCATTTCTGCCGTGGTCTCCTTTGCATCACAAAACTTACAGTCTCAGGTGTTTTGCAGCTTCGTCTGGCACTGAAAAAAAACCACTGTGAAGGCAAGTCAAAAAGTTGTGAAAAATTACAGAGATCCAAATAGTCAGTGACACACATTAACACAAGGAGCTTTTCAAAGCAGTGAAGTCATATCTGCAAGCACACAGTGAACCATTATCATCAGATAAAGATGAGAAAATAAAGGTGACCCGCACAGAAATCTGAACTACTGAAACTCCAGCTTTTATTTCCTCTTTCAGCTGCCTTGTTTAGCAAACAGGCCTGCAAAAAGTTAAGGCTTGAATTGAAAGACTTGCCCATGGGCCAAACTAAATGCTATCAAAGTTCATTATTTAGGTCATTATTAAATGATTAGAGGAAAAACACCTATTTTGCTTTTTGCCAAGATCACTTAAAGACTTGCTGAACCCAGATTTTAATTAATGCTTAGGAGAAGGAAGAGTATGTATAGTTCCTGCTGCTGAATGCAGTTACTAGATACCAGGGATACCAGCTTTTCCCAGAAAGCTCTTTTAAGGAAGTGAAAAGAAAAAAATAAAAAAGAAAATCTGAAGGAAGTTTAATGATAAAACTGAACCTTTCATCACAAACAGTTTAAAAAACATGGGTAGAGTATTGCAGGAAATCTGTGAAAACCTGCCATACTTTAGAACTAGAGGCAATCCTTCTTAGACAAATTTTAATTTTAACTTTATCTTATGGGAGTATTATAATTTCCTTATTGGTTTGGGTGCAAGGAAAGAGAAACAGAAAGAGAAACCTTAGGGAAGATGCCAGTGAAGACGAAGTACAATGTTTCATAAAGAAGAGATGGCTAAATATGTGCAAAGAAAATATAGGAATAATGCATGTAAACTTTAAGGAATTAAAATAAGTTTTTTTCCCTCATAACTAGGCATTGGATTTTCCTGAGGGGTATGTGAATATCTCATTTGAATACAACATAGCCCTGCTTTTTTAAAAGCTTTACAGGTTTTTGCATCTGGGACACCACACGTTTTGGCTTGTTTAAATGTTTCCTGAAGTCTGTAACAATCCTGCACCGAAGTCACCTGATACAACCTTCCTGTCCAAAAATCTGTAGAGAAAATTGTATATTCACAAGAACTGCACCATGCCCTAACAAAAGTCTCTTCTAATAAACTGCCCCAGCCTTGCTTTTCAGCATTGAAGTAGAGGTTACACCTGCCTAACGTGTTTTATCTTAAGGTGTTATTTTATCTTAACATGAAAGTGTTTAATCTTAAGCAATCTAAACATCAGATACACAAGTTCATTGCTTAGATATGCCCATAATCACATTACATGGTTGTTATTTCTTCACTGTTATTTCTGTGTACTGTTCAGAAACTGCATTTCTGAAGCTGTTTTGATATTTTAAAAATGTTTAGAGAATTAGTATTTTAAGTGGACAGTTAAGTGGAATGATTTCCATTCACGAGGCATAATTAGGAGAGATGTCCCACTCTACATTTAGCTGCCCATATGATCTCATATTAGTGATGGCTTTTTGAACCCTTTAGCCTGGTATGAATCGAAAACAAGTTACTGTGCTACCTGTTTCACTGGAGGCAAGTTTTATATCTGAAATATAACAGATTAATTTTTCTACTGTGATCCAAAAAAAACCCCCCAGATAATTTACAACATTTTACAATGATAGAATATGCATGATGCAAACCTGATGTGCCTGTTTGCTTTCTCTTTCAACAGGAACTCATAACCACGTTGTACATTGGATTCTTGGGGTTAATTTTTTCATCCTATTTTGTTTATCTTGCTGAGAAGGATGCAGTTGATGAAGATGGAAAGACAGGTTTCTCCAGCTATGCTGATGCCCTTTGGTGGGGTGTGGTAAGTCCTTACCAGTCAAATGCAAACAGTGCATAAGGTTTTCTGTTGAAGTTGTAATATTTTTTTTTTAAAATCTGGTCTTTCTTTCTTTGCAGAATGTATTTCTGTAGGAAGGCTCAACAGTCTTTTAAGAAGGTTACAAGAAAGAATGCCATACACACAATTAAATTATTTGGGTATTCAATTTTGTTGTGGAAGCAGGTCAACAAGTCATGAATGTTTACAGAAGTAAAACGTCCACATCTCATAAGAGTGTAAATTTCCTCCAAAACCTATACTACATCTTTTAAACTCTACTTAGTTATCTGCAAAAGGTGCATAACTTTAAAAGTATATTCTGTATGCAGAAGTGGGGTAATGACTTTATTATTTTTGACTAGTAACGCAGACTTTTATGCAGGTAAGAGTTTCCTGTTGGCTTTTTTTTTTTAAATGAATCTGCGATTCTCTGTGAAGGTATAAATAGATCCATCAAAAGCAGCTGGCAAAGCTTCATGGATTCACCAAATCCTTTGGATATCAGTCATCAGTCAGGCGCATTTTGTGAAAATCTTTGGTGAAATAAAGGAAGAAAATACCCTTAAAGTGGAACAGGGCTTTTGAGACCATTGTGTTACTATCATGTGCATGCCCAGAATCAGCTGGAAAAGGAATAGAGAGCTGTGAAACAGAATAAGAGACCAGATTGTTTCTAGACTCCCTTCATATGGCTGTTCTCATCATATTTCTCATTGTGACTTAAGCTTTCCTTCTTTACTAGCTGTTGCATAAACCATCCCTTCTCTTGTGGACCCTTTTCCCCACTAGAGAACCTCACGAAATGAGGTTCTCACCCAAAGAGATCCATCACATCAGTGTTAGTGACAGAGAAAAACGAGAGGACCAGAACAGATGCAGAGCCCCCAACTTCCAGAAAAAGAAGGATATATTTCAAGACTCTATACTGGATTTGTTCTTAGATAACAGACTTGGAAAAATGCCAGTTATTGGGCCATAAACCAATTTTTTCTCCACATCCAAATAAACTGGTCTGTCAAAGCAGACAAAATGTTCCTAATAGATATATGTTTCTAATCTTTAACTTGGACGCTGCATAAGCCTCTACTTCAATGAAGTATACAGAAATGTAGACCATATTACATGTAGCCTGAGTTACCACTTTTTAAGTGGTTCTGTATAAAAATATTTTAAACATTAAATTCCTGTTACTGGGTTGTCAAATATTCATTTCATTTGCAGAGTGTCACCTCTGGCTGTGCAAAAAAATAGTACAAACTAAGAAGAACCTAGTAAAAAAGAAAAATCCACTAAATGGCCAGATGGACCTGGTTATCTAAGGTGCTGGGAAGAAATGAAGCCACGAATTATCCCATGCAACGATCACTTGTAAAAATCCTCAATGGAAATATGATGGGATTTTCAGAATATAAAATCTCATGGTTATAGATATGAGACAACCTCTGGCTAGTGCAGGGAAATAATAAATGTATCAGAGGCACAGATTGTGCTGTAATTTAGGAGAAAAACAATTAGGGTATAATTGAAAGATACCCTGTGTCTGCTTTAAGGAAACAAACCAGTACACAGGCTCACTTATTCTTTTATTATTTGAGCAGTTCAGCTCCAATACCAGTGTTCCAATGGAACACAGCTCCTGTTCTGGCTTTGCTGATGGTCTGGCTGAATGGTCTGTGAAGTACATCTGATTAAAAGTGGGGCTCCTTGGGGGAAGTTCAGCAGCACCAGGGACTCCTGTAACAGTTTGTGCTAGTTCAGCTACACCCATGAGAAACAGCTTATAAATTTTTCTAGCATAGTGAAGTTCCAAGTAAGTTTGTAGTGTCTTTGGATTAGAATGACACCAGTGAAAGAAAGGGAAAGCATATAGTTTATTAATAAGGAGGTCTAAACTTATAGTGACTCATGTTGGCTCTGCACAGTGTCTTTGGTGTTTCATAAAGTAAATCCTAGGCCTGTAACTGCAAAAGGCCAGAAATGCCCAAATTCAGACCTGAATTGGGGGGAGGGGGGTTGGAAGAAGAACTTACCAAACAAGGTACAGTGGAAAACAAAAGAGGATTTCCAGCAATGAGTTGGGAACTAGCCCTCACTTTTAGCATCCAGTTCTGTCCACGTATATTCATACATGGGTTATTTCTGCATTAATAAAACTTCCATGTGAACCCAGCGCACTTTCTTCTACCTTCCTTTCCTGCTTTTTTTTTTTTTTAAGCTCTACTTATTCAGAGCTTGCTTTATGAGCTGCATTGAATACTTAGCTATGGATTACAAAATACTTTTAAATGCTAGAAACTACAGCATTGATTTGAGAAAAGAGTCAAAAAAAAAAGAAGGTCAAAAAAGCCAGGATGTGTTTATACAAGAGTATTTTGGACTTCAGGAATATAAAAGGAATTCAGTTATGAAGACCAACAGATAAGTTTAAAATGCACTTTATTACCTTGCTGAGAATAGATGGCTTGGAATCTGTGTTTCAAAGTGTATGTAAAGGCCATGCAAAGTGTTCAATGGGTTTTGTTGTTGTTTTCCAAAACTTCACTTGTTTTGTGCTAACAGCAAGACAAAATCAGCTTCTCTTTCTCTAGCTGTGTGAGGCACATGAAGAACACTGTTTAAATTGTTTTTTAAGCTTTTCAGGCATCTAGGCCTCCTCAGCATTCAGTGAGTCACGGTGCAGGTGCAGTTCACAGCTGGGAACAGTGACAAAGGACAAAGTGAATCAGTTGCTTTTTCTTTTCAAATCTTCTGTAACGCAGAAACACAGATGTGGAGTTACTAGGGAGTGAAATTTGATTTCACTTTTGCCTTTCAAAACTAAACCAGAGGGGGAAAAAAAAAATCTCAGTAGCAAGTATTTGAAAGTGTCTGACAAAAACCACAGAGTGTATTATGGGGAATATTTTGCTTTGAGTAGAAAGTGCAAGCTTGCTGAACTTGATACAAATGACCTGAAAGGTTTAAACGTGAAGAAAAGAAAAAATAAAGAATGGAAGAGAGTTGGAATAAGATGCTATCTACATTCACCTGCTTCAGTTAAATGCAAAGTTGTTTCACCCAGCTTTGCCAGGCAAACAGGTTAAACTGCAATAAAATATCAAAGACTTGTTGTACTTTTCATGAAGCCACTTTCAGAAGTTATAACATGTACAACACATGCAACAGCATTTCTAACAGCATGGTCAGGCTGCCAGAATTGCAACCATGTCACAGCAGTTTTCCTGTCCTTTCTGGGTACTTTTTCTGGAGGAAAGAAGGAGGACACGTGGGAGGCTTCTCTTCTGTTGGCCCTTCCACGCTTGTCTCTTGCTGCTGGTAACACTTACTGGTCTTGCTGCAAACTCAACTGTTCTGTACCATTGAATTTGAATTAAATAGTTTCTCCAGTAAATTGGTGTTAACTGGCAGAGGTACTTAGGATCAGTTGCTCAGAATTTCCAGTAGTAAATTTTCGTGCCAGAGGTACCAGTTTGAACCCCTTTATATTTAGTGTGTTTTTTGAGGTGTGCAGTTCTGACTCTTCACACTTCAGGACACCTGCCTGTCTTAAAGCATCTGGGCAGTTCTGTTGACTTCGACTGAATTTGAGTTTTTCCCCTTTTGAAGTGTACAGATGTGTTTTCAGAGCCTGTGTTAGAGCATGTGCACACCACCATAAATCTGTGTTACAAAGGAGGTGTCATTTTCCAAAAACCACATTCAATATTCTCTTCTCAGAGATACTAATAACTTTTGGATGTGCAAGTAGAAAAAAAAAAAATCTGTTGTGATTAAGAAATCCAGAGAATTACATTATTTATAATCCTTTCCATATTCTATGTACTAATTAGATTACCAAGAAGGCATCCTTTTAAGGTAGCCAGGGAAAAACTTTCTGAGACATGTTCAGGCACCTGCAGGAATCTGCCAGCCAAATGCTTGCTGTAGAGATGGAAAATTCATCTTTTCTGTGGTTACAGCTTTCATGCTGTCTTCCATAGTAACACTGAGGCAGCTCAACATTACTGCAGTTTGTTTTTAAGCCCTGAGTGCTGGAGAAGTCAGAAAAAAAAAAAAAAGAAAAAAAAAACCCAAACCAAACAAACCACCCACAAAAAACCAAGAAGCCTTTCATAAGAAAAAAAAGAGAGGAAAAGGAAGGAAAAATCACAGACTTTAAGGGGTCATCTGGGTGCACTGAGGAGCTGAAGTGCTGTTAAAGAAACACTGCTTTAACTTCCTCCACTGCCCACTAACACATACTGCGTTTCAAAGCTGAATTTTGGGGGGTCTGGTTTAATTTTGGGGACTGGCAAACTCATCTGTTTGTACTGCTGGTAGTACACAGCACCTGAGTCACTTCACAAGCCACATTAAATCTGGGCAAACACCTGGAAAGACAGAGTTCCTGCTGAGAGCAGTTTACAGCTCAAAATAACAATATTCATGCGAAGATATAGATTCTACAAAGTGAACTTCATCAAGTGAGAAATTTGTGATGAATAAACACAAGCCTAACTTCTTTTGAACTCGGAAAAATTAAGTTTGATAGTAGTTGGTCATTTTTTCCCTGCAGATATTTCTTCCAGCTCTCTGTAGAACTGCTCTGAGAGGAGGAGGAAATATATTCTTCTCATGCCTTTATTGCTTGATAGCTTCTTCTGAGAAGCCTATTTTTGCATAATATCTAAGCATTTGTCAGCAAATTTTTCCATAAAAGGCATCTTCTTTTGTAGTCAGTGTAAATTTACATATTCTTTTCAGTCTGTGTTGGCTATATTTCTGCTACCATTCAAGGCAAAGTGAAGGGAGGGGGACTAGGTTTAGGGCTGGGGCTCCCAAGTAGAAGTGCATTTTTTCTATTTAAAGTTCTCCCCAGTGGTTAGCATTGGTGACAGAATTCTTCATTTCCTCACCAGAAGCCTTTCACTTCTCAGGGAGCACAAGCCACATTTCTCACACCGTTTTATGGCAGCATCAGAGCTCTGAGTAGGCTAAAAAGCCTTAATGGCTCTGGCCAGGCACACCAGGGGTCACCCCAACACCCTCATGACTTATTTAGGCTCAGCCCTGGGGTTTTTTTTTTGCTGCCTGAGCTGTGCTGGAGGAGAGCTGGTTCCCAGCTCAGCCACGCTCTGGTGAGCTGGATCTCAACCCACAGTCTGGCTTCCATACTCAGCCTCAGACATCCCTCACTACCTGGATATTGCTGTATGACTGGGATTCTTTGTTGGACACAGTCACTGTCTGAGTCTCTCCTACTCTGAGCCTGTGCCCAGAGTGGTGAGGCCCCTGCCTGGCCCGATGTAGGATTCCCTTGGCTTGCCTGGGGATCCTCTTTGGGATCAGCTGATTATCACCTTCTGCTGGGGAGCAGCTGGCCCTTGTTGATGGACCATTCTGATGGACCAGCCTTCACCTGAACTCTGATCCAATTCTTTACTGTCCACTGGGCTCATAATGAATTCTCTTCCTTCCTGCTGGGGTTCATCAGGAACAGCACAAAACCCCCATCCTGCTCAGGTCCTTCTGCCTGTGTGATGTTCCAGGGGTGGCCTGTCACCCCCACAGTGATTTAGTCCCTCTTCAGCAAGTCCCTACAGATCCCGGAGCTGTGTAAGCACATGCCTTGCTTAGAGTGGAGGTGGGGAGAGGTGTTGTTAAGGCCCCGGGGGCACTAATTGGCCTAATGACCCTGACCAGCATCACCAGTGGCCTCCAGCCACACCCTGGGGCTCTATTTAAACTCAGCATCTTCCTACAGGAGAGGTGGTTTTTAGCTTAGCTGTAGCTGTGTCTGGATGTGGAGTCCTTTAATCCTGACTTTTACCTGAGGACTAATATTTTGCCAATGCCTCATCCCTGTGGACCTACATGCTGACCACTGTACCTGATCCTAATCCTGACCTGTGGATGGAATTCTTGGCTTAATGTCAGACCTGCCTTGTTGCTAAGATACTGCTTTATACTCCAGACTCTGGATTGGGTCTGGCTGCACTTTCTGCTTCTGTTTTGCTTGGCTGCTGTGGGACCAAGTCCTCAGTGGAGAAGTCAGGATAGGTAATGTAGCCTGCTGGGTACATTATCTTCCTTGACTTTGGGTTCCTTTGTGCCTTAGGGAGTACCTGGCCTCTGGTAAGCAATGAGCAGATCCAGGTATAAGCATCTTGCGGCTTAAACACAGTTTTGAGTGGCAAAGTCCTCTATTTGTTGGGGGAGGAATAAAAGGACTCAGCTGTGTTCAGCTCTTGGTCTACTGGCAGGTTGGTTTTGGGAGTTAACATGTCCTGGAATGGTTGTGTGTTCCTTTTCTTGCCATGAAGGTTCAGCTGGGATGGTGTAAGCTCTGTCCCTTTTCATGCCTGTCAGCACAGGGCTTCCCCTGCCTCACCCAGTGTGTGCCTGACTGCAGGGATGGGCAAATACCCATGTGTTGGTTGTGTGCAAGTCGGTGCTTTCAGGGCTTTCTTCTGCCCGCCGTGGAACTACATTTTAAAAGCAAAAGCAGAAAAACTGCAAGCCTATGGTTTCAAGCCCACAGGGCCAATTCTTGCAGTTTTGGAATGGTGGAAGCAGCCAGCTACAAGCTGTGAGAACAGTCATCCTACACCCAGACTACTGTTGCCTCCAAAACAGTGGTCAGCTGTGAATGTCTGCTGAAGAATGTAAAACCAGGATAAATCAATGTTTAGGGTAGTCCCATATCCAAACACTGCTCATTCATAGCTATCTCCTGGTATTTCTCCAATTTATTTCTCCTTTTGTTCTCTTTTCCCTGCTTTTTGGAGAGAAAAGGTACCCTGTTGCACTGAAACAGATGTTTGTTTCTGGCCTAGGTAACTGTCACGACAATTGGTTATGGAGACAAAGTTCCCCAGACGTGGATTGGGAAGACAATAGCTTCCTGTTTTTCAGTATTTGCTATCTCTTTCTTTGCTCTGCCAGCGGTAAGTAGAATTTGAATCTGTCTGACTTAGGTACTTTTAAATTGGTGCCTTTGATAGGAAATAACAGGGTTGGATGTTGTGCACACACACATCCCCAAGTGTGTGTTTGTGTGTCTGTAAACATCAACCTGCTGGGGACATCCAGAGGAGGCCACCAAGATGCTCCAAGGGATGAAACCCCTCTCCTATGAGGAAAGTCTGAGAGAATTGGGATTGTTAAGCCTGGAGAAGAGAAGGCTTTGGGGTGACCTAATTGTGGCCTTCAGTACCTGAAGGGAGCCCACAAAAAAGATGGAGAGAGACTATTTCCAAGGGCCTGGAGTGACAGGACAAGGGGCAATGGCTTCAAACTGTCAGAGAGTAGGTTTAGATTGGAATTAGGAAAAAATTCTTCCCTGTGAGGGTGGGGAGGCCCTGGCACAGGTTGCCCAGATAAGCTGTGGCTGTCCCATCCCTGGAAGTGTCCAAGGTCAGGCTGGCTGGGGCTTGGAGCAACCTGGGCTAGTGGAAGGTGTCCCTCTCCAGAGGTTGGAACTGGATGAGTTTTAGGGTCCCTTCAACCCAAGTGATTCTATGATTCTGTGAGTGAAACTTGCTGTATCTTTACAGCAGTCATTTTAGACAAAGGTGGCCTAGAAAGGGGGTAAGAATAACTTCCACTATTTGAAGAATTGAAGCTATTCTGGTCTATGAGTTGTAGAGGGGTTTTTTATCAGCATGTTTGTGCCAGAGGTGACTGCTTCTTTGTTTCTGTTTTGTGATTATATGATATCAATTGGTGTCCTGTGAAGACAGGAACAAAAAGAACACTTCTATAAAGCAGTGGTCTAGGAAACTGCATCTGCCATCCTATGTGGTGCTATAGAGATCTTTGGGCTTTTTGGATCTTTGAATAACCAGGGTGAGAATGAAGACAACAGCATCGAGGCAATTAGATAAGACAAAGTATTTCTTCAGTAACTATCAATTTTAACCGAAATGTTGAAATTATTAAGCATGTCTTTGCCTTGTTTGCTTAGTTTGGCTGGAAAATCAAACTAGGTTCTGGCTTTAGTTGTGGGAGTGGTTTTTTTGTTGGGTTTTCTTTCTTTTTTTTTTTTTTTGCTGTGGGGGAGCAGGTGGGTTTGGGGTTTTCTTAGGGAGGGTTGAGGAGGTTTTTGGAGGACTGGGAAGGGTTTGGGATTTGATTTTTTTTTTTTTGTGGCAAGGAATTAAAAATAAGTGCAAAGAATAGCTGAGAATCAGTCATGTGACACTGTCATTTGCTTCTCCCACCATTGTGTAGGGTTGCCTTTGGAATGTGTCTGCCTCTATGAATGTCTCTGACTCCTGTAGCCTGTTGTTCACACCACCAAACACATGCTGTTTATTGAAGTTATATGATGCCAGTATTGATCTGCTCAATTTCAGATTTATTTGATGGAATAAAGAAATTCTGCTACTGGGACATTTGAAAACTCATCATTTTTCTTTTTCTCAGAAAGTCTTTCATAAAATGTCTGTTTCTTTCATATGCTAAGTGTTTGATTTAGGTATGTGAAGCCATATTGGAGTCTGACTAGGAATTTTGGATATATTTAGGGTATTTTGGGGTCCGGTTTTGCCCTGAAAGTACAGCAAAAGCAACGTCAGAAGCATTTCAACAGACAAATCCCAGCTGCAGCTTCCCTAATTCAGGTAAGGCCCCTAACAGTAAAATACAGAGGAGCTTATTGGAGAAGGAGTGTGGCCTAGTAGTTCAAATACTGAGAATCATGGTTCCTAGATTATGTTATAAATCTATAACTTGTGTTTAACCACTTAGTCATTTTGATCCACTTCAGTCACTAGAGAAAATTAGATAATTGCCTGTCCTCTAAGTGAGCATAGGAAGCTGTGCTAACCTGATATTCACAGGCATGAGGACACTAACTGGATACAATGAATATATGTGGTGAAATAGTAAAAAAAAAATAAAAAAAATCTTCATTATAATATTTAATTCATAACCTCCTTTTTATATTCTCTTAGGTCCTGTGCACAGGTGGTGAATGCGTGTACAAACACACACCTCTGTTTAGACAAATGCCCCAAGATAACAGTCTATATGATAATATAATGAATACAGTAGCATGGTGCACAAATATTGAATGTGTGGCACAGTGAAGGAAAAAGGAGGCAGCAGCATCCAGTGATGCTTGTGGGGATTCACTTCCATGAGGGTTGTTTTGTCTTGATCCCCCCTACACACACACTGTGGGCAGGGGTAGAAGATCCCTGAAGATCACTGTGTAATATGGGGAGCTGTCCTGGTGCAAACCACATTCACCACGGTTATATAGAGGGAGGAGTGTATTTTATTAGTTATGGTGTATAGTCAGACCCCTTTGCAGCTTGTTTACCTTGACTGAGTAAGTTTTGCTGTCAGTTCGATTTGCAGCAAAAATCTGACTTGCCTGCCTTAACAGCGGCTGCTCGTTCGCTGAGATTATTGGGTTTGGGTTTCGTTGCAGACCCTGTGGCGGTGCTATGCAGCAGAGAAATCCTGCAGTTCCACCGCGACGTGGAAGATCTACGTTACACCCCCAGCGCAAAATCCCAAAAAGTCAGCAGCGCCATCTAGCCCCAGTCTGAGAAAACAGGTAACGGAGGATGGGCAGAGCTCGGGTCTGTGCTTGCCTTTAAATCTCAGTGGAATAACTGGACAGCTAAAACACGCTTCATTGTTTTCCTCATGCCACAGCGTGATTGGCTGCGTTTTCCTTAAAAATATTCCCGAGGGAACTTTAAATTGCCTTGGTGGGCACCCCTTTGAAGTCTCCCACGTTCTCAAAGGGTGCTGTAAAGCAATGATGCGTTCGTTTTGCGTAGTAGTTCATACAAGAAGAAAGGAGAAAGATAGTTTAAAAACTTATGTTCGCATTCAACATGTGGCTGACAAGTAGTTGTGCTTTCCTGAAGTACTCCCTGGTACTTTTATTTGGGGCTGAGTGTAGAAATTAGGACAGATTCCCTCTGTTTTCTCTATTTAGAGGAATTTCCTGAACATGTGAAACCTGACCCTCCCTGTGAACTGCTAAGCCTAATTTAAGAGCTAAGCCATGGTTCTTTTGTCTGTTACCAAAGGCTCATCTTCTCTTATGTTGATCTAAACCTTAATTTTTTTGGTTTTTAAGTGCCAATTGCAGGGTGTTTATTAGGCTTCTTAAATCAGGAGGACTGTATGGAGGTAGGAGGAGGAATTTATCTTCTCCTGATGTGCATAAGTTGGCCTTTTTGGTAAAAGGTGACTTTTTCTTCAGTTGAAAAAGCTGCACAGGGCGTAGTTCACAGTTCAAAGTCTACAGGTATGCCTAATTAAAGCTTTAGAAAGATGTTACAGCCAAGCTGATGTGTACTCAAGTGATTAGTATTTTGTATGCCTTGAGTTTTGGTACTTGAGACCTGTTTTTTCAAAATGTGCTGGGTGTCTTCTCCTGAGAATCAAATTCTTACCAGATCTTGGTTGATAATTCGGAATCAGATATTTTGAAAACAAAGGTTCTAAGCCTTTCACTTAATTTCAGTTTCATTATTTAAATAAAAAAACATATGACCTCAAGTAAATTTACTGCATATGAGGGTCACGTGTGTGCTTGTCTGTGTTTGATAATATCTTCTGACATAATTCCATTTCTACCACCACAGGCTAGAAGATACAAAAGAAAAGGAAAGCTGGGATGTGGTAATGGTTCTGCACCTGCAATAAACCCGGGAGAAAACTCCTTGTCTGTTCCACAGATCACTTATGATCATGTTGATGAACAAGAGCACAAAAAAGATGTATCTTTCTACATTGATGAACCTAGAGGTAATTTACTTACATTGACTTTAGCATTTTTCTTTTTTTTTTTTTTAAGAGATGATGTTAAAAAGGATTGACTTGCTGAAGGGAAAATTTCTCACCCAATCAGTGAAGCAAGATGCCTCCCACCAATGATTGCATAACAAAAGTAGGAACATGCAAATTTAGATTCATATTGTGTGAATATCAAGATCTTTCTTTGTTTACCAAATTTAAATCAATTAAAATGTTGGCTATATTGTTAATTCTCCTTTTTTGAATTATTTCAGAACTGTGTGGAAAGCTTCCTCAAATCTGCCCCACCTTTAAACTTTATCTCACAGAGAATCTGAAGGAAGGGAAAAACAAACCAGGAAAAATATTTTTCCTTTTTTTACAACACCCTCTTAAACATTGTGCAAACAAATTGTGATAGGAACAGCTGAGTATTTTTATGCCTACATCAACCAAGAGGTTTTTATAAGTGGGATTTTTTTTCTTGCTTCATTTAAAATATTGTATGTTTCTATAAACGATGGGTGTATTTCAACCTGAAAACTGATTGAATTTCAGTGCTAAGATAGTTACTTTGTTTGTAAAATTCTTATTTGTAGTTAAGTTCATAATGGAAATGTGCATAGGAAATGGTATTGTTTACTATAAAAGAAGATTTTTCTGGAAAGCTAGTTTTTCCAGTGCTGTGTTGATGTCCTTTGTCTGATGGGGTTGGGGATCTGTTCTGGTTCTGCTAAAAGGGAGAATGTTTCCTTGTAGTCTGTGTTCCATACCTAGAGGCTTACAAAGCCTTGCCAAGTTTACTGAGTTATCCAAAGATATCCTAGTCTAGGGTATGTTATGTCATGATTTGAGTTAGGTTTTCATCTGTCTTCGATAAACCTGAACATCAACTCCGTATAAAATTGCTGCTCTTACATCACATTGAAGCTGACAACAAAACTTCAGCCTGGACAGAGGATGGTTGTGCAGTCTTGACATGAAGGTTTATTTAATAAAAAGTACTTCAAATATTTTTGTCCCCCAAAAGGCAACATGTAGTGTACTGAACACAATCAAAAGTGGGAGTTTCACTGGGTTGCTCTGACTTTATAGAGTTGCTGGATTGTCAGTGCAACCTGTGCGATCCATGCTGGAGCAGTCAGATGTGGAATAGCAGGATTCTGAGAGCTGTGGTATATTGAGGCACATCTGTAAGGGACAGTAACATCTGGCTTTCACAGGGAGACCTTCAAGAGGTTTCATGATAACCATGAAGGGCCACTGTAGAAAGGAGAGCTTTCCTTCCACTGATGGAAGTTTCCATTCCCCCCTCATGCTCATCCTTGTGTTTGATGCTCTGCTGTAAATTTCTAACCTGTTACTTCGAGGTCAGGCTGCTTTTCAGCAATTGTGGTATTTGAATTGTTGTTTGCCACTTGCAGTGCTTTTATGGGTTCTGGGAAAGGGGATGAAGGGTGTGATATTTATAAACAACCTGTCTCAGAATACTGTGTTCATTCTCAGCGTTTATTGCAGCAGTGCAGCTTCCCCTGCTGACCAAGTAATAGCAGATTTCACTGAGTGTGTTTTGATATTTTGGTATCAGTCAGTGCTGGACAGAAGGAGCAAAGTGTTGTGTAACTTGTAACAGCACTGTAGACCATAAGATGTTGAGGACTATGTTGGCTGCATTCAGGACTCTGCCAGTGCACGTTTATTCACTAAAGCTTTGTTGTCTGAATGGTCATAATTAACCTGAGGAAAGCTCTTCGTCACAGGAAAGGGGGTAAAAAGACAAGCCTGTATCTCTTTCTGCTTGGTAACAGGAAAATGAAAGAATTTTCCCCCTTATTCTGAAAATGTTTTCTTTTAAGCTGGTCTAAGTTATTCTTGTTCTGAGAGACAGCCATGCATATTATTCCCTTCCTGATTAATTTTTATCTATTTTTCATTTTATTTCACATTTTGCCTTAGCCAGTGTCAGGGGTAAATCACACTTAATTTGATTTTTCTGATTCATTCCTTCTGTTGCAAAGCTTCCAGGAATGTAGTTGGCAAACTCAATTGCTCAATTCACTGAACATTCTTGACACCTCTAAAAAGTTTAAACCTGATTTCTCGCAGTGAAGTTCTCCTTGCCAGCATTAATAGGCTTCTATTCTTGGAAACTGGAAGTTTAGAGGCTTCAAGCCTCTAAATGGGGTTATTTTTTTTTCCTCTCAAAGCTGAAAGTAGAAAAGGCAGAGAAAATAATAATAATAAAGGTAATTGAAAAGAGCCATGATAGCTTCTATTTGAGTGTTGCTATAGTGGAATATTTTATTCATTGGTTGTGGGGGCTGGATATTTTACAGATGATGGGGAACTTAGATGTTGAATTAGATCACATTTACTATATCACTTTTCACTAGGAGGAGCAGAGTTGTTGCTTTAAAACAGCTCTTCTATTCTGCTGCTGGGGTCAGATGTGAGAGGGACTGTAGGAAGGCATGAAACAAATGCCTGTCAAGTGCAGACAACAGAAAATTCCTTGTTTCCTTGCAGAAATAGATAGAAATGTAGTTAAAATATCCTTGATAAATGAGGAATTTACCTTAATTCAGGAACTGCATTATGTGTGTGCACTTTTTTTCATGCAAATAAGATTTTTCTTATGAAATCTTGTTCATGTCTCCGTGTCCACCCAGAATCCTCTTGGCTTGCTCAAAACTTGCTTAGGAGGCTTATCTTTCCAAGCTGGGCAAGAATGCTTTCCTTTTTTATACAAAGAAGGTTTTAGAAAAGGGAAATCTTAAAAATAATGTTGATCATGTGTTTTATGAGATACTTGTGTATGTGGAATAAGAAACAGGTAGTGGATAGTGCATAATATAGAAATAAAATCTTTGCTTACCAAAAACGGTGGAACTTAGAAATAAATGCTTGATAACCTGACAGGAAAACAGCCCCTGATTTCTGCACCGTGCATGGGGTTCTGGGTGTGACTGATTTAGGGTTCTCTGTAACACTAAGAACTTGACCATTCTTACAGACATGGAAAGGCCAAAATCTTCCACAATAATAGTTTCCTTGTTTGAAGTCAAACCTCTCGCAATTTCTTTTTGTAAAGAAGTTAATAAGGAACAACTCAAGCAAACACAGATTTTTAGAAGAACAGTTCTAGAAAATGTGATGTGGAATCAGAGAATGCCATTGTCATAGGATGGTTTGTGTTGGAAGGGAAGATCATCCAGTTGCAATCCATCTGCCATGGGCATGGACACCTTCCACTAGACCAGGTTGCTCCAAAATCCATCCAGCCTGGCCTTGGACACTTCCAGGCATGGAGCATCCACAGCTTCTCTGGGCAACCTGTGCCAGGGCCTCCCCACCCTCACAACAAAGAATTTCTTCTTAAGATCTAATCTGAATATCTCCTCTCTTGGTTTAAAACCTTTCCCCCTTGTCCTATTGCTGTCTGCCCATGTAAAAAGTAACTCTCCAATGTTTTTACAAGCCCCCTTTGGGTACTGGAAGGCCACAATGAGATCAGCTTGGAGCCTTCTCTTCTCCAGACTGACCAACACCAGCTCTCTCAGCCTGTCCTCACAGGAGCGGTGCCCCAGCCCTCAGAGTGTCTTTGAGGTCCTCTAGTGCAGTTTGTTTCTTTTTCCCATGCCTAACTTCTGCTTCTGCTGAGGAACTATTTCATACCAGGGTGTCTGGTTTAATATTTTCATCCTCACTTGAGTTTATATCCATAAATCTTGAAATCAATCTTCACCTGTACTTTTGTCAACCACTGTGTGTGTACTCCCCTGCAGCAGCATCATTTATTAGGATGACAAGACATCTATGAGCACTCTGGCATCTTTAATGTGCCTGTAAGCTTTAAAGAAGGCACTTAAGTGAGTGGCAGGTCATAGAGACCGATCCATATAGAGGGAGAATAAAATTTTGGTGTAACCGAATTTTTTCTACATGCATTTTGAGCTTCCTCTTCAAATAACAGCTATTCACTGCAAGGTATGCTTCACCAAATGAACCAAACAGCTGTTTCATAATGCTTTTTATTAGGGAGGAAAAAAAATTATAGAAATTTGAAAGTTTTTTAGACCTTGAACATCAGCCTCCTGGGACAACTCCAGCAGATGGAATATATTATTTGCTGTCAGCTATTGTGGGTTGTATACACAACTCATTATTGTTAAATTTGTCAAAGTCACAAGACTCTCACAGTGATAAATCTCTGCTGGGCTAAAAATAAATTTCCCTGTTTATCACTGTGCTTTTCTGTTTGCATTTTGGAGTTTCTTGTATGCTGGTGTATGTGCAGTTTAAAGCAAAACTTCACAGGAGTAACTTTTTACCAGGAAGAGGGAGAGAACTGTAATTTTCTATGACCCCCTTAACTTTGTAAGCCCTCTCATATAAAGTGTGTAATACTGTTAATGTTGATTTATTCTGTCTGTAATGCTAGTTTAGATGCTGACATTCCAGCATTCACCTATCTAGTAATATGCTGGTTGTTCCTAGAAACTGGTTGCATTTCCCCTTGGGAAAAAGGGCTGCTTTCCCTTAATGGTGTAGATGGATTACAATCTGCAGTGCATATAAAGAAGCAAACACTTTAAATAAAGGGAATTCATAGATTCCAGTGCTGACAAGCTGAGAGAAAGGTGAGGAAAAACATATGGCTGAAATTACCAGAATAAAGCAAACACCAAAGTTTTTGAGGGTCTTGCACGACTGTCAGTAAGTCAGAAAAGCATAAATATAGAGATATGCTCCAAATCAGCAGTGGAAGGTATCCAGATACCATGCTTCTGAAAAACATCATGCTCTAAGGAAGGTGAGTTTAGCAGATGCTGGTGGTTTTGCTGTGAGAATTTGTGTTCAGCATGCAGCTGTTCAGCTTCTGCATTTGTCAGCCAGCTCAGTGCTTGTACTAATGGCACTTTCCTGTAAGAGTTGTGGAAACACCTCTTTGCCTTTACCAGAAAGTTTTCAGTCTTTGCTGCTTCAGCCCTGGCTGTCCTGAGGGAGAACAT